CGCGCTCCCGCCCGGGGGTCCCGCCCGGAGTTCCCCCCTGCCCGCAGGAGAGCTGCTCCCGAGAGGCCTCCGCGGGTCGCCGCACCTGACACCTGGGGCGGAGACGACCCGCCGGCCGGGCCGGGAGCGAAGGGAGCAGGTACAGAGCCGGCTCCACGGCCGCCGGCCCCGGAAGGGGAGCAGCCCCTCGCCGCTGAGGGCGCAGGGGCCGCTGGCGCGGAGCGGCGGGATGGAGGCGGAGGCAGAGCCCGGCCGGCTCCGCGCCCCGCGCTCCCGCCCCGCCAAGGGCGATGCTGCTTACCGCTCCCGCATCCGTGCGGCCGGCGGGCGGCGGCTGCCTGCACAAAGCGCGGGGCGGGGGGAGGCAGSAGCGCCGGGGCGGCCTGGGCCTCCTCCCGCTTCTCTTTCCTTCGTCCTTCTCCTGCCGGCCTCGCCTGGCCCCGCCGGGACGCGSAGCCCCGGGCACCCAGCGCGGAGCGGCCCCGGGCGGGCAGGTGCCGGCGGACCGAGCGCCCTGCGCCGCCGCAGCCGGGCCGTGTGGCGGTGCGGGGGAAGGGAGGAGCCTGCGCCGCGCCGGCCGAGCGCCGTGGCCGCGTCCCGCTCTGCGCTGAGGGCTCCGGCCCCTGCGGCCCCGCGGTGCCGCGATGGGCGGCGGGTGAGGGCACAGGGTGAGGGGTCCCCTCCGCATTTCCACCGCCCCGCTGTCAGCCCGGCCCTGGTTTAGTCAGTCCTTACCTGCTTGGGTACCGGCGGGCGTGCACGCCTCACCTGCACCCTCCTGATCTTTGGGAAGGGCTAACTGAGGAARCTGTCTGTGGCTAAGGAGGAAAAGGTTAAAATCGTGTGGTTGTCAGTGTGGAGCTGTGGTATCTGGGAAGAGGGATGCTGGACAGGAGGGACTTGCTCCTCTAAGGCAGAGGAGATAGCCTGGGTTTCTGAGGAGACAGGGCAGTGCTCTGGGCTGGCCTACATCTCTGCTGGGAAGGCTCAGCCAATGCAGCAGTTACTCACTTCAGGATAAGTTTGGATTATCTGCTTGTCCTTCTGCTGAACTTGCTCAGCAGGTATTGATCACATTGATGCCTTTCCTATGGTCCAAACCTGGTCATGGAAGTCTAGACATGGTCTAAGATACTTGTGTTTAGCTCACCCTACAGCCCCCAACACAGTAATGTCATTTCCTTTCATTGTGTGTGAGGCTTTCTGGCTGCTTGGCATCCCAGCCTTGAAGTCCCACTTTTGAWGCCAGTGGCTTTGCTTCTGTGTGTGCTGATTCCAGAAGAGGCTGTTCAGATCATGSAGCCAATTCCTTGTTATCACCTCCCTGATAATGCCCATAAGTGGCTGCATCTGTGGAAGAGAGTTTGTCTAGCCTCCTTAGRTGTTGCATGTCTCACTTCAAGTCAGATTATATGAAAACCTGTAGTATTTTCATATTCTGCATCCATGTTCTGCRTTCCAGTAGCAGCTGTCCAATCTTGTTAGTTCTCTGAAAGTTGCTTTCTTCAGAAATTCTTTTTCCAGAGTACCTGAACCGCCAGAACTCTTTCTGGTAGGGCTTAAGGGTTTTGTGTTTGAAAGACCAGGTGTCTCCTGGRCTGTTTCCCTACCAGATATCTCTGYCAGCATCTGCAAGGATGAAGCCCAGGCTATTGCTGGGCAGGTTGGAAATCCAGTTAATGTTCCACTGCTTTCTGATRTTTTATTCAGTTCAAACCAAACTAAAAAACACATTCTTTCTACATCTGGAGCATTGTTCAGGAACAAAAATAAAAAGTTCAGCATAAGTCAAAATTTGTCCTAAAGGTGAAGCAATAGGGTAGGTAAATTATTGCCTCTTTTATGGGATGATTTTCCTCATACACTGTAGTGAATATGAAAGCTTTGTAAATGAGGCATAATGCACCAATTAACTCCAAGGCTTGGCACACACTGTCTCATTAATTTCAATTGCYAAGTCTTGGCTGTAGGAGCCTTGAACAATAATCTAGTCTTTTTATGCAATGAAACAATGCCAAAGAGTGGCATTTACCATGGYAAACTGGAAATAACTGAAATATTTTAAAATAATAAAAAAAAGAGGTAGAGGAAGGTGCGTGAAAGATACAGTCAAAATGCCATTTCTAGAGGATTTTGATATTAATGGAAATAAACCTTCCTGAAATTGATCACTGTACTCTTGAAGGAGTCATAATGGTTGTTTTCTGTACATACACTGTAAATAGGACAGAAAGACACCTGGCTAGCAGACTCAGAATCTCTGGGTTAACTTACAGGGAAAACCTAAATGCATTTGGGAGTATAAGAGCAAGATTTATACAATTTATGTACTTGCTTTCAATGCTGACATTTTCATGCATCCAGGTTGACACCCCTAGGGGAACAAAACAGCAAGGAGAGCAAAATGAAACCATCAGTCACTCCTTTTCCCATTTGTATGGGTCAAAGGCTCTTTCCACCGTGGCAAACATGCAGGGTGATGCACAGCAATCAGAAAGGATGGCAGGCTGGCTGCTCTGGAACCAGCTGTACAGAACCAGGACAGCACATCTTTATGGGGACAGGCAGCAGAGAAAGAGACCAYGGACACGGATGTACAAACAACTGACCCCTGCTTTGGCTCCCTGTGACTGCTGTCACCTTCTGCTGCACTTCTGGTCTGTCTCCTGCCTGATTCACTGCCAGAAACCTGTGCTGATGAAAGGAGCAGCAGTGGACTTCTGTGTGAGGTCTGCATGTGTAGGAGAGCATGCTTAGTGCTGCTTGGGCAGTATTTAAGGAGTAGAGTTTTCCTATGATAAACAGTGCTGTTGCATGACATTCTGAAAGACCAAATTGCACYCTGGATGTGTTGAGGTAAAGAGGCATCCAACCTGTCATTAGAATACTTAGCAGGGACTCGGTTATTCTTGTTCCCTGAGGCTGTGACAGATCTCTATCTGCACTGCTAGCAGTAGTGCCTTCTGTAACAGTAGCTGCTGCTGCCACCTCTCTCAGTGAGTGCTGTAGCTTCTTTATTTTGGGATAAAGAGGAGGAAGAATCCAGCTTTTCTCAACACTTTTTAGCTATTATGYGATCTCTGCTGCTGTGGGTATTACAGAAGCTGTTGTGGTCACTGCTTCCACACCTATTACTTGTTTTCTGAATCATTGATTGCTTGGGGACAATCCTGCTTTGCTAGGCAATCTTAGAATAAGAATAAAAGTGTTATGGTAGGTGTGTATTTAGCATCACACACACATTCCTACACATGTTGTTCAGTGGACACCACAACATGTGAAGAAATTTGCTCTGAATTAGCCTGCTTCTGTAGGGATTCTCRGGAATTAAATTAAGTTTGAAAATGCGTAAACTTTGGGTCAAGAGAGGATGCCAAAACTACTTCTTATTTCCAAGCCATCTCCATGAGTTCTGTGACAATACAATATGTTAGAGACCGCTGCCTAACCAGTGAATTAATTGCAATCAGCCTGGGGGGCTTGATCCTCACTGAAACTGGCCCTGTTTCTTGACRCAGCAAATTCTTTGAAACATGGGTRCTAATGATTTGCTRTCTTGCCTGGAGAAACAAATGAAGTAAGTACTTGTTAGGAAACAAAGCCAAAAAGTCACCACAGAAACTTTATGAAGTAGGGTACAGTCTGTGGAAAAGCCAAAAAGGTGATTTCTCAGTGAAAGGCATCACATATTGGCASGTCTGATATCCCTGCTTAGTGAGAGATATCAAAGACCTTTCTCTGCACTATTCCCAGCTAACATTAGCTTACATTTTTTTGTTTCATAGAATTGTCAGCCTGGAATGAGCTGCAACATTTTACCTATTTCACCTTGTGGTGCCATATGGGATATACAATATTTTTTCTGAAGCTGAAGTGAACGTGTGACTATATACATTTGCGTGAGTCTCATGCCCCATCATGACTGGGCTGCTGAACTGTTCATCAGCTRAAACTCTGAACAAAATRGTCACTTCAGTGCTTTTCAAGAGGACATGAGATGTGATGCTGGGTTAAATGGGAATTTACACTSTTTTGGGAAAAGAGATGCCTGAGGCTATTTCTCTGCTTTGTAGAGAATGAGCATTTTGTTTTGTTATTTTTTAAAATACTTTTTCAGATTRCTATACTTTTATTTATTTATGTTAGGAAAGGATTAATTAATAATTTGTTTTATGTAGCATCTTAGTGATTCGRTATTTCTTTCAACAAGCTGTAGTTTATAAATTCCAACAAGCTGGTCAGTAGATGCAGGAGGAGGGTGTGAATATCTTATAATCTGGATGTGAAGAAATGCCTTTTCACCTTTGAGGCATTGCTCACTCTTCCGTGTCCAACAGCACRTTCACCACGTGCTGAAAGATCAGTCTGTTGTGAGGTTGTCACAGGTAGTGTCAAATCTCTTTCTGTTACATGCCAAACTAATTTTCTGCAGATAAACAGCCATTGCAAGAGCTAGGACTGGTGCCAGCAGGCAAACACCACAGTTAACAGTGCTTCCTATTTTAATTAGAGATAGGATAAGGAATTTACTTGGTCCTTCACCTCGCTGGAGAATAAATATGGAAAGTATTTGGAAATAGAAATTCTCAAATGTAAGGCAGAGGGCTTAGATTTAAGATACCTAGYTACAGGCGTAGGTTTTAAAACTTTTTTTAAAAATTTGTTTGAAATACAGGAAAAGTGATTTGAAGTACAAAGGGAAAAGATACTTTAAGATGAATGAAGACACTCAAAATACACATTCCTTAATCAGAAAGACTGAGTGTAGTACAGAAATGCTATCAGCATCTCATCCTCAGAGTCATCAACAATAATTCTCTTCCCAATTAGCGTATAAAATTATCGGRTTAATAATGAGTCATGTTCGTTGTTTGGGCTGGGCTAGGAAGACTGATCAGAAGTGATGAAAGCAGCTGGCCTGTTTAATTAGAGAGTAAGAGGCTGATTATACTGGGAGGTCTCATTAAAGGCATAGGATCTCATTGCTTCCCTTTTCCTGAAAGGCATTTAGGATGTTCTTGCAGAGGGTGTGGAGTGTATTTTAGTCAGAAGTAGYTTGGGTGGCAAACTAGCTACAATTCATTGTTATTTCTAAGTTTTAGATTTCAGGCCCTTCGTTCCTTTCTCTCCCCAATTTCTTTACTTGTGAAACTTTCTTCCTCGACCTGTTTTGCTACTTTCCTTTTTAGGTAACTGGAGGATGTAGTTGCAAAAATGACAAAGGAAAATGCTTCTGTGTTGTAACTTGTTCYGTCAGTCTGCCATAAGCTGCTGCTCTCACGTTTACCTCCCTGGGTGGGGCTTCTGAAGGCAATTGTTTTGTCCTCCTAAATAGAAAGAGCTGAAAACGGAAGGTAGCTTGAGAAAAAGTGATACTTTAAAGTTAAATATTAACCAGATTCAAACAAGCTCAAGCACATTTCAAGTGAGGTTGACTTGTTGGGCTGTTGATGAAGAAGGAATTCAAGAGMGAAGAATAAGCATGGGGATACTCTACTCCGAGGTACGTGACCATTTTCCACAGTTACTGAGCTCTTGAAGGTGGGGATATTCACTGGCCTTGGTTTGCTCCCTTCACATCTTCCCAGACACAGGCTTATACAGCTCTGGAAGTATTTTTCCCCTTTGAAAAGTTTCTCTTTGTCTATTACAAGTTGTCAGTAGCATTATTTATAGGAGCAAAGAAAATGCAATAAGCGGTGTAATTGTTGTGGCTTCATAAAGTACACATTCAGCATTTTTTGTTGTTCCATGTTGAGATCAGAATGATTCTGAACATGGTGCGAGCAACAAACAACTTTGTAAAGAGCTGACAACTCCTTGGTTTACACTGAAAACAGATAATAAAGCTAATGCTTAAGAAAACCAGATTGTTTTAGGAAGGTAATTTTTTTTTGCCTTATCTTTATGGATTTGTCCTAGACTATGGTTCATTAAAAAATTTCCTGTACTTTAGCATAAATTCTACTAAAATATATTCTTTTAGAAATTTCCCATTTGTACATGTGGGAACAAATGAGGATTTTGGTCCTTTGTGTCTGAAAAGAGCAGGTTGCACTGGTATTTCTTTTTCTGGAGGTAGCATTACATAGCTGTTGCTTTAAAAGKTTACACTTCTGTGCTGAAAGCTACCCTTTTATTTTATAAAAGCTATTCAATGAAATCAAGTATCTTCTCCTCTTTCAGTATTACAAGGAGCTTGAATCTGTGCATTCATAGGTGATGGGCTGAATAGAGTGTAGCTTATTCTGAAAGGATTTCTTGCATCTCTCCAGATCTACTGCTCTGAGATAGTGTTGCACTGGAAACCAGTGTCATCTGGCTCAATTACACAGGTGTTTAAAGTATGTTCAAATTCTGTCTGTATTTTTCATGCTTATTAGTTAATATTTTCATATACATTCATTTTCTTTCTTTAAAAAAATAGATACAGTTTTCTGGGTAAATTATGGTTTATTTACACAAGATAGAAAACTAGAGAACTAAACATAAAAGATTGTAGGYTGCCTTTTCTGAGAAGTGTGTATTGAATATTAGAGTATTCCTCAGCATCTTAAACATAATTTAGTCTTTCCTGTTCAATTCAGAGCATGCTTCTGAAATAAATTTCGTGTGCAGGAAGAGGCTATGGATTGGTTCAGAACATTTTGACATACAAAGTGTCTTCTTTTTGTCTAAACAACTGCAAAAAGTAATTTAGGCAATCCCCTGTGGTTTTAAAGGAGGAAGCAATTGTAACCTGAAATTGCTCTCTAAGTTGCAAGACAGGCTTTACCTTCACCTCTTCTCTATTGGTTGAAAGCCTTGTGAAAGCACAGTCCTTCATACTGTGCCTTTAACCTTTACTTCATGTGTGGTAGAATTTGTTAAATAGCTCGAGGATAATCTCTAGCTCAGCAAAGCTAAGCAGAGAAAGATGCAGGAAACTCTGGAAACAAGCAGACAACGTCAGATGTGGCAGTTCATCTGGGTATGAGTCAACTACTGGGACCTGACATCAATCACATTCCACAATTGATCAAAAAAAGTAAAAAATCAATTCTATAATTGCCCTTCCTGACAGTGAAAATTTTATTTCTTTTCTTGCACCCCTTATTCGGTGATCTTGTACTGAGTCATCTCAGCCATGAAAAAGCCTTGCATGTCCTATGAGTACTTCTCACTTTTCCTGAAACCTTAGATACTGAACAATTAAATCCYGCTCTGAAAGACTTGCAGAACAAGAAGTTTTGAAGAAAGAGAGATTTTAAACACTCACTGGCATATCTAATTTTCAAACTACTTTCCAGTCTTCAGTATCTGCCCACTGCTGTTTTTCAGCTGGGCAGGCTGTGCTCTAGTTCATGGTTAGCTCTGATTCTGTGGCTGGGAAAAGGCACCTCTGGTGAGGGTGGAAGGAGTGTTTGGTGCTGTGATTCTCTTTTTTCCCCTCCCTTCCATCGTACGTTTTGTGCAGTCACTGCCAGGTTGATCCACCGTGTCTGAATGTTGGGTGGGGCTGCAGCAGTGTGGGTGGGAGCAGAGGGGAAGGGCTTTGCTGCCAGACATATCACAGAGACACTCTCTTCCTGTGCCTGAGCTGGAATTCTGGATCTGYTCCCCTCCCTTCTGCCCTGAGCCCTGTCTGTGTTGGCTGCAGGGTTGGTTGAGCCTGTGCCGGGTCTGCCCAGCTGTGTTACGGAGCTGGACCAGGTCTGCTCTGGGTTCCTGGGGCTGTCAGGACGCTGGGATTTATAAATGATGTGTGGGCAAGAGCAGCCACTCTGTGTTTTGGACTGCAAGAGCATCTGAGAACTCAGTTCCCACTGATCCTTCAGAATTTTTTGTTGTGGGATCGCTGGCCTTTTCTCCTCACACATCCCCAAAGGAGATGCCATGGACACCATGCCTGTGCTCCAGCTGCCAGTGCGTCCCTCACAAGGGAAGCTGCAGGGGTTCTCCTGCCTGTCCTCCATCAAACTTCTGCTCTCGTAGCCCTGCTCCTCTCCACAGCTGGGCACAACCTCGAGACGTGAACTTTGTTCCTCTGGATATGGCTTGCAGCTTGCATGTGAAGCCCAGGTATTCCGAGTTCTATGCCACGGGTTTATTTCTCTCTGTGTATGATAGTTGGATGACAGCTCAGCCAAAGGGAAAGCCTTCTGAAAACTTGGAGACTGGGCTTGCTGCTTGATACGGTCACCAGCTCCGGTGAAAGCGGAAGCCAGCTTTGCGTGTTTTTTTTTTTTTTTCCTAATGGAAACGGGTTTTATTTATTATAGAAATMGATTCCGAAATGAACAGAAAACTCACACTGCACTGTGCAAAGGCTGTGACTTCTGGGGCTGAGGGCTGAGGGCTGGGTAGCAGCTGTAGGAGTGTCTCCACCACCATCTTCTGGAAGGCACMGAGAACTACAGCCTCTGCCCGGCCGTTCAGGACCGGCGAGTAGTAAAGCAGAACGGGAAGTGCGGATGTCTTAGGGAAACCCGTGCTGATGAATATTATCTTCTCAYTTCAGCCCATCTGTCAGGCAGCTTACAACAACGATTTCAATAAAGTTCATCTCCTTTTGGAGCGCAACAGCAACGATCTGAACGTCCAGGACAGCTTCAGAGGAGACACCCCTTTAATCTGTGCATGTAAGCAAGGAAACAACAGGATAGTTAATTATCTGCTTAGAAGACATGCTGATGTCAACCTCAGAAATAAGGTAAGTGGCCGCTGACTCTTCCTTTGCAGTGATTGTTCTTTCAGATTCTTAGAGTGCCAGTGGGGACACTGGCAAGCACAAACAACCCTCATTTGTTTCTTGCTGAGGCATGTGGGGAGAAACAGGTGGCATAAAAAGGCTTCTCTGCTTATTTTTGGGCCCTGTGTAACTTACTCTGTCCAACTCAGTTTTGACAACCAGTAGCAAGTTCAACACTGTAGCACAAAACTTTACAGCCCTGCCTTTTAGTTGTATTGGTATATTCAGTATTCACAGATTTTTTTTTTTTTTTAACTGTTCTCAACGGGAGTCTGTGGTGGCTGTTGCTGCTTTCCTGTGTTTCTCCAGAGTCCCAAAGGAAATGCCCTAAGGTCTCACATACCCTTGCTTCAGTGACCAGCTCCTCTGTAAGAAGGGGGGCTGTGGCCATTCCTCCTGCTGATTTAACTTGCAGTGTGGCAGCAGCAGTGGCCACGTGAGATATCCACTCTCTCCTTTGAATCTCTGCAGGTCCAAGTTTGCCAACATACACATGGAATCCTTTGGATCCCATATCCTCCTTGCTCGTGTAGTCCGATTTCCATGACCCTCTATGTGATAAATGTGCTTCTCCTCGAAGGAAGCAAAATGCAGGTGTCTGGTTCTGCTTGAAAATCACAGGAGTATTTCTAGCAGACAGTCTAAAAGAAAGCTTGTGGAATTTAAAGTGGTCTTCTATTGTGAATATTAAAGTCATATCACTGAATCTGGTACTAATCAGAGTTATTTTGYCTTTAGAAGGACCGCACTTGCCTCCATTATGCTGTGAGAAAACGATTTTCCTTCCTTGACTATGTRCTCATCATAATCCTCATGCCAGTTATGCTTATTGGATATCTTCTCATGGTGAGTCTGGACAGAAGCAGGAATGACCCTGTACCTTTCCCTTTATCACATTTTTCACAGCAGTATCTCAGGCCAGGAGCATGTACAGAATAGGGACTGCTTTCTTAAAGCGAGGACTGAGTGAGTGCAGCAGAAGAAGCAGGGATTTTGTTGTGATTGTAGCTGGTGAAGGAACATAATTGTCTTATTGTCTCAGTCTGACATTTGTATTATTGTCTCAGTCTGACATTTCCAGAGACTATTCCTCTTTTTGGAAAAAAATCCCACTGTATTTAGCACAATTTATTGCTTAAAATTATATGTAGATGAACTGTTTTATTGTGTTGCTCTTCCTCTTGCACCAAACAGGTCTCAAAGACAAAACAGAATGAACACCTGGTCAAGATGTTGCTTAGAGCTGGAGTCAATGTGAATGCTACAGACTYTGTAAGTTTACACAAAAACGCAAATGTGGCTCACATGCAGGTAACAATAGTAAAAGCAGGCTGCAGAACCTTCTAGAAACATAGTTGAGGTGGGAGCATCATGGGCTGAACTGACCAGGAGGATTCAGCATTTCCATTTGACACTTAGGCAATATTTTTATGACGTATACAGAAATGATTGCCCACCGGTATCTAATTCTCTTTTTCTGACCAATGCMCTCATAAGAGAATTCAGGCTGAGATATAAGCATCTGAGTTTATCACCATTTATAAGTTTTTGAACTGGAACAGATTTGTGGGCTGCAGGGCCCTGTGTCTTCTCTTGGTCTTCTGATCTGCCATATACAGAGTTTTGTATCCAGTAGCCTACCTGGGTTTGGTAAAGAGCTCCTCTACTCTAAGGCAGAAAAGGAGAAACCCCAATTTTGTCAGCAACCAAACTGTAAAACACTGAATTACAAGTAAACAGCATTGTTTAAGATGTAGTTTCTGAGATCATGTAATCCTCTGAAATTATTGGCTTCCTGCTGAAGGTATCAAATTTGTTTTAGCAATTTCATCCCAGGGAAGGTATTATTTTATTTTTTTGTTCCTGTTGTTCTCATAATAATGTATTTGTTGTACTGTGAAGTGCATTGTGACAGGAAATGGTATCTGTGTTTTGCATCCAGCTGTTAGGGGGAAACTGATAAGGCTAYAGGTGCTCCTACTTGAATAAGGTCTGCTAAAGAAGCCATGGAAATAAAATTCATCTGCTTCTGTTTCCCTTCAGTCTGGTAGCACAGCCCTTCACTATGCTTGTGAAATGAAAAACCAGGAAGTCATTCCTCTCCTGCTTGAAGCTCATGCAGACACTTCTATAAAGAATCAGGTAAGAAGGTGAATTTGGTTAACTGTATTTGCTTATCATGTTGGTGAAGCAGTAAGTGCATGGCAGGCCTTTTGTTTGGTGCACAGCAGCTTAAAGAAAAGGGTGCACATCTTCCTGGCAGCCAATTTGTRTCCTGTTTGCTCCATTGCCTTGGTTGACAAGAGCAGCTTTAAAGTGTGGATCCTTCACTGCTGGATTTCTACCAGCGAGCACTGCCTGCATGTCCCCTGCCTTGGCACATCCCTTAGCTGTCTATATRGTGCCTCTTCTTAGCTCAGACCTACCCTACACTGGTTCCTAAGGTGTAGGGGAGGAATAAAAGTCTTCCTAGGTGCTTTTTGTGCTGTGGAACATGCTTCTTCTGAAAGGCTAAGTCAAGCTGCTTCTGTCACCACAGCAGTTCAAGTGTTTCCCAAATCAATGTTGACCTGGGACTCACCTGCATCACTGAGTTGAAGTGAGCAGTATATTACCTCTGTTGCTCCTGAAATCAAATCTTAGCTGAGCTCTGCACATTTGGATGTTATTCCTAGGSAACAATGGAAAGGCTGTCCCTCCTGGAGAGGAGGGCTCTGTCCGTCTTCAGCCAGAGTAGCATTAGACCCAGCATATTCTGAAACATTTGTTTTAGGGCAGAAGTGACAGCAGACCTTACACAGGTGGCAAAGTCAGGAAATCTCTTTGTCCTTGACCCATATTTATCATATTGCATTGTATTTTGTGTGTTTCTTTCAGGATGGGGAGACTCCCTTAGAYATAGCAAGAAGATTACAGTTCCACAACATTGAGAGCATGATAAGGAAAGATTCGTAGCCATCGAGGACTCTGACATGCAGAAAATTACCTCATCTGACAATCCACCTTTCAGAACAGCAGAAGTCCTGCAGAGGATGAGGGCTGATACTTGATAAAGACTTGGTCCACATCCACCCATTCCCTGCTGCAGACTTGGACAATTTTGTGTGAGATTTGTCARTACCCCGAGGCCATGTGTGGGCTGAAAGAAGTTCATTTTATTTTACTAAGCCGTGAATGATTACAATGGTGTTCAAAATATTGTCCTTCCCATCTGCCTCACCAGTTTTATTACTTGACTTTTGCAAACTGTGGATTTTGAAAGCTAGCTGTAAAATATCTGGAAGCCTAAACATTGCATATGATGTTTGGCAGCCAAAGCAAAAATAAAATATCCTTTACAGCATGTGTTACTTGTTCCATAGGGGAACTAAACAATATGCTTCAGCAATTATAAAAAGTCTGGTACCCTTCCTCTTAGTATTTATCTTCCTGCAATGGGAGTGGCTGGGAAAACAGATCTCTCAGTTGAGCACTTCCTCCTTCCTTCCTTCCTACAAGTTTCACACACCTTAATTTTCACTGTGGTGCTATAAGAGTAGCATTATTTTCTTTTTGTGTATATATATATATATATATATATATATAGATAGACAGATAGATAGATAAGAAACAGCAAAAAGCGATTCAATGCCTTGCTAGAGACCATAAAGAAAGTCAATTCCCAGATCACTTTAATGCATTAAGAAATAGTAATGAAAATATGTTTGGCTCAGTAGAGAAACAGGTCTCTTGACTACCTTTCCAATATAAACAGTGTACTAAAGAAAAAAAAAAGAGTCAATAAATGAAATGCAGCTGATGGAAACCAGATGTGTCCTTCCCATGGGACTAGACAGGATAGCATGCTGTGCACAGTGGTGCATGCAGCAGGGGATGATACCAATCATCATAATCATATCTCCATGAGTCTTCTCTTGCATAGGTGAAGGCAGAAGAAAACCTGCAGAAGTAAGAAATATGCTAAAGTGGCCTGGTGCTTTCTGATTTAATAATACAGCAATAAAAAGGAAACTCCTTTCATATCCTGCTGTATTGTGCCTCATTGGTCTAATGGATCTTTATTTTTGTTGCCAATTTTGGCCTTTTCCTGTAAGCTGCCAGAAATGCAGAGTACAGGTGCCATGATCAGCACTGCTGATGGGTGCTACATGAGGTGCATGGACAAGGCAGAGTATTTTTCCTGTGTTACCAACACAGATACCTTTTTCAGTGTAACTATTCTGTGGGATGTCAACTCCAGCTACAAAAGGTCATGGCTGGGCAAGATGAGCTTGAGGCTGCAGCCAATACTGCTCCACGAAATGAAGCTCCTTGTTGGAGCTTGTAATCTTGAACACTTCATCTGTAATCTGGGCACGGACACTCTTACCTACCATAGCAGCTTGTAGGTGAGATGTGAGGCACTTGCATGGATCATGAAGATGTCATCTCTTAGGGCTAATGGCCAGAAAGGGAGAATTTCTAGCTGCTTTCCCATGTCTTCTGAGGAAGACAGTGGTCACAGTAACACTGTGGAAAACCTCAAATTATGAGGAAAACAAGAAATAAATAAGAACAAATAAATACCTGTACAGGTATCCCTTATGTATGTCTCTGTGTTTACCTCTTCCCCAGATATCACCCTTATTGTCAAATAGAAATTTGGAGGGTTTTACTGAAAGAACAGACACTGTGCTCATGGTTTCAAAGATATTTTCCTATTAGTTCAATGATTTTCATGTACATTTTCTCGGTTGCATCGAGGCCCCAGATGAAATCAAGATGTCCCCATGCAGGAAAATCTTCATGGTAAATGAGATTAGTAATCCGAGGAAGCAGCTTTGCTGTGTCTTTAGGGTCTGCGAATGTGTCCTGTCCTCCACTCCAAACAGCAGTTGGTATCTTTACCTCCTCGATCTTGTACTCAGGAGGAGCAGTCTGTAAGACAGGGAGGAGACCTGAGTGAATGTTGCTCTATCAGAAGTATTTAGAAAGCAGGTTTTGTGCAAAGCACCCCTGTCTTTCGCTTCTGCACTGCCTGCAGTAAAACCATAAGGATGAAGGCCAYCCTCTTATTGTTCATGGCCCTGACCCCATTCCCCATCTATGGAATAACCCATCCTATTTTTGTGTCTTTCTGCAAATCATGGCGAAGAGCTGCCTTGCAGTTTGACCCTGGACTGTGCTCTTCAGAGGTGTGGGCATGCAAAGAGCAGTGACAGTATGCATCATTTATGAACTGTGGAGATTTCTCCTGTGTGTATTTGGGGCGAGATCTGTAATTTTTTGGGGGCATGGGAGTGCAYCTTTTGGTCTAAGCTTTAATGCTAGCAACTTGAGTGGAAAGGAAATAATTTGACCATTTGTAATTTCACTCTGGAAAGTTTCTGAGACAGTGTGCGAGATAGAAGTGATTGATAGTAGCTCTGGAGCCTTTCTGTCTGTGAAAAGCAGCATTTTGGTGCAGCACAGGACACTGCAATGTGCTGGTTAAAATTAAATGATTGCCAGTCAATTGGAGAGGTCACTGTAGCTATTGAAATTAATTTCCTCCCTTAAATGAAAGGCAGACTTTGAGGATTTTTGGGGAAGTGAAGAGCTCTGTGCTCACCCAGTCCTAGGACTTGGGTATGGTTCTTAGCCTTTTTGGGATGACATGTAAGCTGATGTCACTGGGCACATCCCCTTATCAGTAGGGGAAGCAAAAGGAACTTGTGTTAATTGTTGAAAGGGTCTATCTGTGCCTTGTTTGTGAACAGAGTTTCACACGTGTATGTGATTCAGCTGAAACATTWTTTGAGACCACTCTCTCCCTTGTTAGTACTCACAGGGCTAAAATTTGAAATTTTCTGTTCATACTTTTACCAAGAAGTCTTTTTGCCTTACCTGGTTGTATTTCTTCATGTTTTCCTTAGGGCCATAGTCATAAGCTCTAAACTGGTCCTCATGCGCTAGCTTTTAAAAGAACAGAAAAAATAAAAGCGATGAGATGAAGAAGTAGAGTGCAGGATGCACATTCCTGCCTGTGAGKTAAGGCTCAGGTGGCAGAGTGTGAGTTTCTCCCACGCCTTCCTCTGGTTGCAGGCTTCCAGGGTACTGAGGATCAATCATAAGGTAAGTGACTTCATCTCCTTTTCTATTGCTAACTTTCTGTCTTTATCCTTGTATTCCACCCTCAAYATGTTTTGTTACCTAGAATTTTGGTTTACTACCTTAGGTAACTAAAGTTGGGATCCCTGTTTKTCATGCAGAGTAGGGTTCAACTGTCCCATGGAAAGAGAACCTGAATGTCTRTAATGTGTCAGGGCTGTTACTAGCCTAGTGTAACATGCCTTGAAGGACTGGTGAGTCGATACCTGGAATTTTCTGTTTGTTTTGGTAATTTAATTTTTTGCACAAACATGACAAGTAATTTCACTTGTGAGTGGTGTGTAATATAAAGGGTGAGAGAAAGCCAGTGGCTGTCAGATTAGAAAACCTTTACTTGAAGGGCTTAAGTAGCTGGGGATGTGCTAAAAATCTGCATGCTGTATTGTCTTTGCTATTCTATCTTGCTSTGTCTGTGCTTGATTTGTATCCACCTGACTTTGTTAGACACTGGCAAAACAGACTGTAGAGTCACCAGCTGTCCATGGTTTGTGTCCATTTCCTGGCTAGTTGTATCCTGAGGGACTGACTGCTGGGACTCATGTTTTCAGGAGCATATCTATATTCTAGACCATAGTAAATGTGCATGTGCTCATGGCAGCAGGTGAGAAGGTATGATGGCCAGCTTCCCAAATCCACAGCCTCTGGATTTTCCTGTWGGCTGTCAGTTGCACAAAAAGCAATAGTAAGGGATTGTTGACATGTCAGTGTATAACTATACCTGTCGCCAATGCATAATGTTCTGTACTGATGTTCCAGCTGGGGAATGTCCCACGATTGTATCTATTCGACTCTGGAGAGAAAGCAGAAATTTTGTAAAGACAGAGACACAGTTCTGTGGCATAATAAAACTGGGAAGAAACTGAGTTTCTAATATTAAAGGGGTCAGTTTACAAAACACTTTTTATAGTTCTGCTAAGGAGATATTCCAATTCATTCCAATTCCTTCTCCCTGGATTCTTCCTCAGCTATGTTTTCTTGCTCTGAAAACCACACTAGTGGCTTAATCAAGGCAGGAAATACCCTGAATGGTTTAGCTGTGCAATTCAAAAGCTGCAATGCCTTTAATTGCTTTTGCATTGAACCTTTGATTCTAACTGCTTCCCCATATGTGCATTTTAAAAGGGTTACAGATTTAAAAAATGGGCTCTRTTGTTACAGATAGTGCAGTAACAAACATTAAACAGGTCAGCTTCTACAYTGGCTACTGCAAAGGGGTCTGACACCACAGCATTCATATGTTGGCAAGCAGAGGGAAAACTCTGCTGTCTCTCCTGCCCCCTCTGAGTGATGCTCAAGTGTTTGTGAATCTCACTGCAGGTGTGCTGCCCTCCTCAGCACAATGGAAGGGCTTTCTGTAGCTCTACACCTTGTGAATTGAACTATTGGTTCCAGTTCTGAGCTCAACAAAACTAAGAAAATGCCCCTTACAGTAGTTCTTTGGGACCAAGTTTTGGTCCCAAAAAAAGGGGTTTTTTTCCTGTCTTTTAGCTATTTCAGTGTTCAGAGGAAAGAAAGATGGAAAGAAAGGAAAAGAAAGAAACTGGCAACTGTGTTGCTAAGAAGTCTGACTCTATCGTTCATTGTYTCTTTTTAAAGAACATCTTTGTGTGACTGAAATCTAATTGGCTTGGCCCCAAAATAGGGCACATCTTGACATAAACAATACAACTCCAATCTGAATTCAGGAATTCAGGAACTGGAATGTGCCAGCTGTGAGYCCCACCCATCACCAGCCCTGGTCATGTTGCTGCTGTTGACAGCACACAATGTCCTGGCATTGCCCGAGCCTGCTGAGAACTCTGTTGTGGTTTGTGTGCATTTACCTGTGTGACAGGAACTAGACAGGATAGTGTGGTGTAACTGCCCCAATCCCTTTAGTTCTGCTGGGAGGAGGTGCTCTCACTTACCATGTTGATATTTTTTATGCTGCCTCCAGCTATGTAAATGAGAACATGGGCACAAAACTTATCCAGGCTTGTGCAGAGCTGTGTCACGGGTCCTCTCAGAAATTCGATCTGGTGCGCGGCTCCTTTAGAGCCAAATATTAACTGAGGGAAAGGAAAAGTGCAACACCTTTTTTTCTTGTTACAGAAAAATATTGTGCAGGAAATCGTTGCTGATGGCCTAGCCTTCATAACACAGTATTCAAAGAGTGCTGGAACAGTTAACCCCCACAGGGCCCCTTAGAACACCCTCTTCCCCACASTGCATCATTTATTCTTCTTCCTTCATACTACTATCAGCAATCTTCAAGGAAGGCATCCTTCCATTTCTAGTGTACTGACCTTATTGCATACTCATTTTAATAAGTCCTATTGATTGTCATGGCTGTTACTTCAGYTCTAGTTTAGTTCCTCCTGCATGAAGCCAGCAAAATTTTAGTTAAACAGCYAGAGTCCTAAAGCAGGAGAGTGTTTCACAAGTCTGCTTCATTTGGTGCTGCTGCTACAGGCTCTGTATCCTGAATGTTTTCCCCACAGATTTTGGGATTTTTTGGGAGCACTCAATTCATCCCAAGCTCAGTRTCAGCATGTCACTTGTTTGGGAACACTTTGTTTCAGGCTGAGTGAACCCTGTGAAGGGTAGCCAGGCATTGGATCTCTTAGAAGGAAAAATTACATACCTTGATTAGTGGTTCAGGAAGATTTATTAGGCTAAACAGAGGGCTTGTAGCATGTGAGCATGAAGTTACTGGGCCCAGAGCAAAGAACACTTTCACTTGTTTAGCCAGCTCAGGGTACGTAGAAAATGCTATAAAGCCTGCAAACATAGAAAAGGCAGCCTGAGTTAGTGATGATATCCTCCACAGACAACTTAAATACATTAACAGATAGCAAACAAGAAATTATAGGAGATTTGCAGCCCATTGTCTGTTGTTCATATTTGTGCTGCATGTTTTACTTTAGGAAAGTGTTGAAGCTGTGTCCTGAAAYGAATTTTATTTGGAAGGAGAAGTTMATTCTGAGGTTTAGAGCATGTCTGGGCATTGCCTTTATCAGAACAGCTTTTGTAGGCAACATGTCAGTGAGGTTTTGAAGATAACATCAACTCCTTCTAAAGTTCAAGAAACTCTCATAAAAGAATGAGTTTTTCAAATTAGAGTCTCTAAAGGTCTGTGCATGTTTATGCTCTCATGAAACTATAGAGTAATTAGCTTGATAATGGCACCTTTGAGTGTTTTCAACTGATTATTTGCATCACAGACAGATGAAAAAAGCCTAGARGGTTGATTCGTTTTGCCATGAGGGTCTTTAAATACTCTTATGAGAGACATAGGGAGAAAAGATCAGAATTTGTGACAATATATGGTTTTTCCACATTTGCCTCTCTTTTTTTCTGGGTTGTTTACACTAATGAACTAGCAGTTGCTCTTTTCTAATTAATGTCCATTCATGGACTTTATACATAAACCATAACCATCAAAAACTTYCAACTGATGCTAAAAGAAAGTTAACTGCATAGAGGCCATGAAATGGTAATGCCAAAGGCTGGACCTAAGAGAAAATAAACTATCAATGTTTTTTCTTTCCTAATTTTTTGTCTCTGGCACTACATTTTTAAACAGCAATGTGGCCAGTTATAGCCACTCATGAACTGTGTTTTAAATTGTAGTAATGTTGAAGTTATTTTTCCTTGCCTTCAAGCAATTTAATTTAAATTAATGTATTAATTTAAATTACATATTATATGGGCTGTTTTKTCTCCCTAGTTTTTCCATCCTGTTCACAGGAAMAGGSTCCCCTGGGCAGTGGTCACAGCACCAATCCTGAAGACCTTAAGAAGCATTTGGACAAYGCTSTCAGGCACATGGTGTGAACGTTGGGGCTGGCCTGGGCAGGGCCAGGAGTTGGACTTCAGTGATCCTTGTATGTCCCTTCCAACTCGGGATATTCTATGATTCTATAATTCTAATTGTCTGCATTAATACGAAAGAAGAACTTAATGAAAATTCCTGTTGCTGAGAAAAATACCCAATGCCAGTACCAGAATTAAATGACTACTTCTATGTCTGTAATTATTTAAAAAGTTGAACTATCACTGCAACTTCTATTATTRGTTTATTAAGGGTAACCAAAGGTGATTTTAGAAAAGTTGTGCATATTTTCCAAATCTCAACCTGGAAAAACCTCTATGTTTTTCTAGCTCTCTACAAACAAGAAAAAAAACAGAATCATTGGGGAGACTAATCTACCAATCAAAGAGAAACACAAATGGTTATRAATAAGTGTCCTGGCATTACCTGTAGTTGACCCTTCAGAGTGACCAATATAGTAAATATCCTTCTGTCCAGTTTTGTTCATGATGAAGTACAGCTCTGCTGGAATGTCATATTTACCCATTTCATCGAAGCTACAGGGAGAAACACAAAAAGCTGGCAGACAGTTTGACTATCACAGTGAGTTASTGATTGTCAGCTCTGTTCACTGCACCAAGCAGGACCCATTGAAGGAGGAGGTTGCACACTGTGTCTGCATCCTTGCTTGAGATGGGAAAGTGGGCAGAGGAATGCAGCCTTGCAGCCAGGCTGCCTGATGCCTTGGGCTGTCTGTGGAGAAGGTGCCAGCTTCACCTGACAGCTGCAGCCCTTGGGAAACTGAATTTCATCAGTGCTTTCACCCTCATGGGTTGCAAAACACATTCTTTTTTTGGTTGATTTCAACTGTGAGAGAATGGATTTCTAGACAAGGCTGCTCAGYGTGTTCCAGCTGAGGTTCTTGCTCTTTCTCTCAGTACTGTGTCCCTTTCCCTCAGCATCCTGTTTCATTTCCCAGTCTCTGAAATCTCTCCCCCAGCCAATGCTCCCAACTCTGAGTGGCAGTGAACAACCCTCTTTCTCTGGTTCTTTACTCTCMTGGCTTGGTGTAGATCCTGTTCTGATGCTGGTTCTGGTGAAAGCCGCCAGGCTGAAGCTATCTAATCCCCTTGGAGTTTCTATGTTTAGTCATTCTCTCTCTACAGAGTACCTGTACTGCCAGAACTCTTTCTGGCTGGGCTTGAGRGTCTTGTGTTTCATAGACCAAGTGTTCCCTCTGCTGTTTCCAAGCCAGACATCACAGCCAGCATCTGCGAGGAGGAAGCCCAAGCTGTTGTTGGGCAGGTTGGTAATCCAGTGAGTAGCATCTCCTAGAAAAGCATGCTGTAGGAACACTACAGGCCTTTGCCCTGAAAAAGATTTGAATATTCTTACATTGGAGCAGTAATTAACGTGTATTTAATATTGGAGTGCAGAGTTCAGTTTAYGAGAGATTTCCTTCAAGAAGCTCCCAGGAGAACTATACACAGATATTGTTTTGAGGAACAGGAAGGATTTTTTTCCATACTAGCAGGAACAATTTTATGACATTTCATAGCCMTTTTATGACAGGTCTGGCAAATAAAGAATTTACTGAGGATGCCTGTCCTACCACTTCTTGCACTGGAAAGCGACTTACAGGCCCCTATGCTGAAACCATCTACCCAAAGCKGAAAGCTGCTGAAGGCACAACAGTATATGGAAGACAAAGGAAAACTAAGCTAAAGAAGGAAATCCATGCTTAGGTAACCAAAGAGCAGGGCTGAGAGACCCCTGATGTAATTTAGTTAGCTTTACTCTTWGAATCAGGTTGGTCCAAATATCTCCAAAAGAGATCCATATCGGGGAAGCCATCCAAATAAATTATTCTGTAATACTAACAAGGAGTAATAGTCAAAGTAGCACTCTACAGAGTARCGCAAATTCCAGCTAGAAATTTTCATTTTGTTCAGAAAATGTGATGAAACTGATGAAATGCATTTGCTTTTCACTGATGACCTGATCTCTTACGTCCTTCCTTAAGAATTTCTCTGTCCTTCCAAAGCCTGGAAATTAATATTCAAATGCCTAAACTCAGAGGCTTTGTTGTCAGGCTACTATTTTATATGCATATTACTTAGGTTGTTAATGCAAAACTTTTCCAAATCCAGTTTACCAGTCCAACCCCAGGCCATTTGATGGAAAAAAAAAAAAAAAACCAACCCTTGGATATAACAAAAATATTAGAAAAGTCTGAAATAAGAAGAGACACACTGAATGTAGGGACTTCAGATGGACTCAGTACTCAAGTCGTATTTCTGACTAGGTGCTCTTGTGAAGATGGAAAGGTGTGGAAAATGCCACTGCATAAGCAAAGGGGAAGGATGGGGAAACCATGTAAGAGCTGTCTCTCAGATCTCCCTTGTGTCCTATAATATTGTCACACCTGTATTTCGGGCATTCCTCCCAGCAGGAATTCTGTTGACACTAAGAATGTATCCATCCTTTGTTGTAACTTCATATTCCTCGCTAGGGTATCCRTGATATCTGATAATTTCACTCTGTGGAAAGCCAAAGGAGAGTTTGTTATCCTGCCAGTTGTCGTGTTCTGGAGCTTAACCAAGATGAGCAGCGTGGATGTGGGATGTGCTGTGATGGTAGTGCAGGCCCCAGCCACAAAAAACATGGCTGAGAATTAACATTACAGGCCTTGTAATAAGRTGAAACAAAGTCCTTTTCAGACCTGTTTAGTTGTCTGGTTTTTGGTCCCCTATTATGGGACAAAGCAGGACKGGGCTGAGTGACCATCTCCCTTCTGGGAAACGGTTGTATTGTGCAAGGCTGATACAGATCACACATTTTCTAGAGATTAAATATGCAACCATATCTGCATAAGACAATGCCAAAAGCTCTGGGGATGGTCCCTGATGATTCCTTGCCAACGTGTGGTTAGGCAAGCCATGCAAAACAAACAAGGGTGGAGATCTCATCARAGGAACTAATGGGACCACCTACACCTAATTTTGCATGTACTCTGAGGAAATCTTTGGTGACTCAGGGCAAGGCATTTTGGATTTGTTTGCATTGTGAGAATCTGAAGGTGTTCAAGCCTCCCTTACCACTGTTCTGAGCAAAGAGTTTGTTATAGGAGAGCAAGCTTTTGCTTCACTTGAGATTACTTGAGAAACATGCCTTTGCTTCCACTGCAAAGGAATTCTTTTCTGCGGCAGCCCAGACTGTTTGGATAGGAAAATCAAGGTTTATTCCTTCCTAGGCTAGTGCCGGAGGGTTCTTTAATCACTTGCCAGGTTCAGTCTCCTCCCGTTATGCAGTAGCATGTCACAGCTCCACGTTTATCAAACATTCATTAGGGTTCACCCTAAAYGCAGGCAGCAGAAATTGTTCAGCTTGGTATGGACTGGAGCATGTGGTCTATGCTCCCACAGTCCAGGGCTGAGTCTGGCTGCTGGGATCCAAATTCCGTAGTCTGGATCTGCAGTGCCCCCCAGGAGGTTCTGGGGAATTTCCTAGCCTTGCAGCCAAAAGCAGCTGTGCCCACTGCAGTGGTTGATGTCTGTCCTCATRCAATGTGCAAGGGGCACATCTGTCCCTGGCACAGACAGAGCCAGCCCTCATTGAGGCAGAGACTCTAAGGCAGTGGTTTTGGAAACAGCAGGCTGGGAAAACAGGAAACGCAGAGGGGGCTCTTCACGGCTTMCTAACGAGGACTGTTAGTTGTGTAAGTGAGGGAGAAGCTTTAGGAAGGGAGASGTGACCCAACTTACAACGTTCATGAAGCATTCGGGGTTGCGAGTCCTCTTGCGCCAGCTTGCGCCAACACTCCGAGCAGAGGCTGCTGTGAATCCCGCAGAAAAGGCAATTCCTTGGGAGCAGAGCAGCACGAGGAGGCACCACATCTTGGGGCTGTGTGGAAGAGCACATGCAGGGGTGTGTTTGTTGCATAGAAAGCAGTGTGGAAAGTCTCAAAGGAGTCTCCTGAAGGTTGCCCAAGGTCTGTTCCCCAAGGGCTGCCAGAATAAGTAGCTGGGTGAGGAGGGGCTRTCTACAGCTCACCCCGTTTGACAGGTAGGGATGCAGAACAGGACAGGAAAACACGTGGGGATACCATGCAAGGATATGCCTGAGCACTCTGCAGATTTCAAGGGACCCATAGTTGGCAGACAGGGCCAGCTCTTGCCATGAGCCTAGCAGAAGCTTTACAAAGAAGAGGAGCACCTGAGATGACCATCAAGCAGCTTGTCTGCCTTTATCTGTCTCCACCCTTCTGCCAGCAGGAGAGGTGAAAGGAGAAGGAAGAGCTGTTTGTTTCCTGTCTGTCGAGGAGCRAGGTGAGAGATGGTCAGGATGGACTCTCTTTTAACCTGCCCCCTCCTCCTCCAGGACCAAATGCTATTCTTGTGTCTGTCAGGGTGTGCTGGGGTGAGGGATCAGGTAATGAGGCTCATGAAGGRGCCAGGAATAATTCAGGAGCTCTGTGAGGAGATGTAATGGATTTGGGGCAATTTGTAAGCAAATTTTGCAGGAGACCTGTCTGTCTTACAGTTTTCATTAGGAAGTTAAGCAGACTCAGRAGACAAGTCTCTCTGGAACCAGGCATTACACAGGGAGAATGCAATTTTTAATGATGAACAGAGGTTCTCATGTAGCCACATGTTTCTGGAGTCTGCTTCTAGCATAGAACATCTGCTATGATGAGATACGGTGCCCTGTGAAGTTTATTTGTACTCAGAAATATTCAGTGTGAAGATCAAGAAAAAATAAGAAATTATTTCCCATCAAGTAATGGGGAAGAAAACTAGAATTTGAGGGATGAGGCAAAAGTAAACAAGGAAAACAGGTTATGCCTTTTAGTGACCTTCAATTTAACCTTTCAATTTGACTGAACAAATTTACAGAATTCAAACCTCATGAGTCATCAAACATCTGAAATGAGGCAGCATTTGGAAACACCCAAAACGTTAAACTTAGCATCAAAACACACTTCATTAGATTCCCTTTGTACATCAAATACTTCTTAATTTTTGTTGTCAAAACAGGAAGCCTCACAACTACATGCTCAGGCAGTGTGACACTCAATGCTTTGCTTTCTGCTGTTTTACTCTGTTCTAGTCAGAGTAAAATCTGCCTCCCTCTCCCTGCCCTGGGAATCTCAGTTTGGCAAGAAAAAGTTATGCTAATATCTCATCTTGTTTTCAAATCACTACCAAGACTAATTGAGGCARTGCAGAGGCTAAATTATTCCTCTTGTTGAGATAAACTTTCCTCAGTGCACTCTGTGATCAYCTGGCAGAGCTGGCATGGCTTATGGACTTCCAGGTATTCACCTTTTACCAGCTGCAGTGGGCCAAGTAGCATCAGTCTTGGCTGGCCACTGTTTCCTTAAACTCTAGGAATAAGGACAGAAGACGTGAASAGCTGTTTTCAGCTAGGGAGATGAAGCCATAAGTAACTATTGAGCATGGTAAACTATCATTAAAAAACATGCACAGATGGAAAAAAGGTCAGAGAGAGAAATGCCCTTGCAAGTTCCTCTACATACTTTTAAGATTCAGTGAAAGTAAGATGCAAGCCAATCCAAAATTTGTCCTTCCATCCTTGTGCCTTAAGCAGTCTGAAATCTATTTCATAGAAGCTGTAAAACATGCACACACCAACCAGAAGAGCAACTGTGACTAAACACGTCTGAGAATTTGCTGCCTTACTCATGAACAACACACGCATGTGCRTTATACGGAAGGAACAGGACATCCAGATCACGCATTGTTGCAATATTTGCACATTCATTCCCTGTTCGCAGGTTGAAGGAAACAAGTAGAAAAAAATTAAATAGTTGCTATTTTTCTTCCTTTTGTGCAGGTCAAACTTCTTTGCCTTCTAGCTTAAGYAAAGAAGCATTTCTGTGCATAGCAAGAGGATTACAGACGAGAGACGCGAAACACTGCTTATTTTTACAACCAATGGCACAAAAGCAAGACAGCAAATCTTTAGGGAGACAGGAAAYAGAGAAAGAGGCCATGAACATGTATGTACAAGCAACTTACCTCTGCTTCCACTGCCTTGGTCTGTCTGCTGCCACGGTCCCTGGTCCGTCTCCACCAGCAGACTGATTCACTGGCAGAAACCTGCGCCGATAAAAGGAAGTCAAAACAAAATGAGCACTCCAGGGAAGCAGCTATGAGTGTCATGAGTTGGCAGCATGTATTGTAGAGCGTGTTTAAGTGCTGAATTGGCAGTATTTCAGAAGTGGGGAAATCCTCGTGATGAAAACAATGATCTGGTTTCATTCACAACCCCAAAAAGCACCATGGAGCAGGAGAGGGTACAGAGTACCTACAAATCAGTGGTCAGGAGGTTTCGCTGGGATCTGGGAGTTGCAGTTTGCTGCAGCTGCGGCAGACTGTGATCGGTACTGTTGCCCAACTGAGGGGCTGCTTCAAATGTAATCTTTTGAGATGAGAAGGAGGAAGTCCAGCTTTTCTTGACATAGTCTCTCAAGAACACTGTCCCTGCTATTGCTTTTCATTTGTTTTATATTAACTTTAACATTGCAGACTGACCTAAGTCTTTTTACCAGTGAGCAGCACAACTCAYGAAACCCTCCTTATTCAGTATTAACCACACTCCAGTGCCAAAGAAGGCTTGAACACAACATATAACCTTTCTCTCAGCGAGAGAACAAACACGGGTTCATGTTTATCATCAGCCATTTTCATCACCTCTGAAAACMCAGTATCTGGAGATCTYTGCTTAACGGCTGAATTAGCTGTAGTCAGCCTGAGGGCTCAGTCCTCACCGAGATTGGCTCGATGACTACGGGCAGAAGGACTTGTTCCATGTCCTTGAGCAGCAGGGCTATAAACTAAATAGAATCCTCCTACATGAGGATCAGCCTGCTCAGCCAACTAACTCACGAGTGTCTTCAGAAAAACTTGAGTTTCATCATGGACTGATGATCTTTTAGAACATCAGATAAGAGGCATGTGTTCTTGGGAACACCATTGTAAATAATATGATGCCTTTGACTACTGGAGGAAGGAGTGAGATGACAGAATGTGACAGCACACCAACAGTTCTGCTTTAGACACAAATTAAAGAACATTGTTTGGGATAGTGAAAAAAGCAGTTTGATAACTTCTTAGTGAAAAACGTTATAGCTTGACTTCTCTGATATCTGTAAGTGACAATAACTATCATCAAACAATAATTAATCACTCAGAAGTACTTCTGCCACACGATGTCTCAATCCTTCTCATGTGTCAAGGTGGGCTCAACAGTCCCCATGATGTGTCCAATGCTGTTTGCTCAACCTGCTTTTACTGATTTTCCAGAAAATTCAACTCCCTGCCTCCTCTGTGATGTCTCAGGTTGCAAAACACCTGCACAATTGTAATCTCTTTCCTAGATGACTTTAGGGAATGTTCTGCCTACTTTCACATCCGATGTAGTTTCATTTAGCATGGAAAGCATTGGTAACTCACAAAGTAGGTCCCAAGTCCTCATACATTTTCCCTACAAGCAGTGAGCACATTGAAAGATTGACTCTCTGAAGGGTATTTGTCTCCAGGAATTTGTATCTGGTRGAAGGAATGTCCTTGTCTGGAGGGGAGCTGTTTTGTTTGGACCAAACTCTAGTTATATTTATGGAGAAGGAAAGAGGACACGCTTCAGCAGTGGGCTCAGGAGATGAAAGAGGCCTGCTGTTTGTCTTGGAAAGGAAAGGTACAGAAGTGGCAGCAGCCMTGGTTAACTTGTTTGGCTAATGAACCATTATGCAGAGTGAGGACTGGTCCTTTGGTCACACAGTGCCACCGGTGAACTGTTCCAGTGTGACAGCGGCACTGCYCTGGTCAGCACCCCAGACCTGGCCTACATTAACATTTCATTGAAATGGAGAATGAGGGTGTCAYGCTGAAAGGAACCCCCCTAAATGTACAGTGTTTCTTCTCACAGTGAAGCTAAAGGCATTTTGTTTTGGAGGGATGGTGCCCTACAATGCTGTAACCCAATAACCACAGAGGTTACCCTTCGACTGAGTGGTTTTGTGCMGTAAGTACCTATTTGAAACGATATTGGTAGAGTCATAGTTACCACATGAAATTAATAGGATGAATAATTCTTCATCACTGTCTTGAAAGCAGCTCTTTCCAGTAGTGGTCAAAGTGCTCTAAATATACTTGGCATGAATAGAATGGATTCTTTCTAGCAATGTTTGGGTTCTTTTCATTTTAGTGTTTAAACTCCAAAGAGGCTGCTCAGAGCCGTGACAAAGGTTAGAACATCTCAGCTCTGTGATAGGCAGTAGCTTACACGTGAAACAGCAGGAGGTGTGAGATTTCTGCTGGGTTCAGGGTGTAACTTTGAACTAAACTGTCCCATGGAAGTGCTGCCATTRCCAAAATGATTAAGCTTGAGTCAGGAAGGATTTTTCTGTCTCGAGGTGAACCTTGAAGCCAAGTTTCCCAGCTTTCAGGTGTATGCTTGAACTGTGAGACTGGCTATTCTTTTCTGTTGGGTCTACCCTGTGTCCCTTGCTTTTCCTCATGAAAACAGTGAGCAGTCCCGTTTCAAAGATAAGCCATCTTCTTTTCAGGAGTGAGGTCGTTCTTTTTTGTATAAGCACAGTTTCTGCTTTCTGTTCATCATCTGTTTAATAATAAAATCATTCAATACCACAACTGTTAGAATAGTTTTTGATTACACTATGCCTTTACATAACTGGTGACCCAGTAAACTGAGATATAATATGAAGAATGGAAAAAATACAGATATCTCAGAATGTATCCAGGGAAAGGAAGGGCTTTCATTACTGTTGTAGTCTAGAGAAGAGAGCAGGCTGCAAGCAAACCCTGTGTCCTGCTAGCAAAGTATAGTTATTGCAGAATCAAAGTTGTATCAATTGAAAAAGTATTACAGATCCACAAGGTTGCCAGAAAAWATGAAGTGCACTACCAGGATGCAAAAGGCATGGAGTGTGCAGGAGGAACCCTTTCCCTGACTCCAGATGTAACAGAAGGCATTTTTTGTACCCTGTGAATCTAAATGGTGTTGAACGAGTCAGGCAATGCTTTTTGTGGTGGGTTAAGGATACTTCTTCATCAGATCAATAATTTCATTGTACACCTGCAAAGGTGCATCCAATCCCCAGATGAAATCCAGGTGTGCCCATTCAGGAATGTTCTTGTGATAGATAAGCTTCTTAATTTTAGACAATAAAATGGCTGCATCCTTGGGATCTGCCAGCAGGTCTTGCCCCCCAGTCCATACTGCAGTTGGTACAGTCATCTCTTCTACGTTATAGAGAGGAGGAATAGTCTGGAAAACATGAAGCAGTACAGAAATGAATGTCCAGGGGAGCAGAGCAAACTTTTAACCTTAATTTGTGGCTTTCTTCTGTCACTGTTCAAAGTAGAGGTGTCTCAACCGAAGAGAAAGGAAGTTCCCTTGTTTGCCCTTTCTGTCCATGCTCACAGGGATTACTCAACTGATAGCATAGCCCAAGGTAAAACAACTCCTGAGCTGACAAAGAGTTATTATTGGATCCTTGCCCTCTCATGTAGGAAGCTTAGCCTGAAAAACATGTCAGGATGCCTCTGGATAAACCCCCATCATGGTCCTTTTGAAGTGCTGGTCAGCTGTGGAAGACATGGGCTAGAGAGAAAACACAACATGTGATAAGGATGGAAAAGATCATGGAATGGCTTCTGGAGGAGATCATGGAATGGTAGGAGGAGAGGGAAAGCAACTTAGGACTTCTGTGTTCAGAAAATAGAGGCCGGAGCAAGGATAGGAGACAGGTTTATACAATGACAAATAGTATGAAGGTATAGCACCAGAAGTGWTTATCCCAAACACAAAACCTAGAAGACATCCAGTGACTTCCCAGGAGCAAGCAAATTCAAGGCAAACCAAAGGAAGTTGTGTTTCATGCAAGTCATCATTAAAACACGTAACTCATAATGACAGGCTGTTGTGGAGACCTGAAGGGTAGGAGGATCAAGGATGGGATTAGAGTCTTGAATGGAAAGGAATTGTTCCTCAGGATCTGCTTGAAGTCCTTTTGCCTCTGGCTGCCAGCATCTAGGGGTGACTATCAATTCTGCAGTTCTCCTATTCCTAATGTTGTCATCTGTTTCAGTTCCACTAATAGGCAAAATGTTTCTGTTCTTTTCTCTGCACTCTTCTTTTTCAAAATTAATTTTCTATCTTTCCAGCCCTTACTTCTTCTTATTTCTATTGATCATTTAATTGAAAAGTTTTGCTCTTCCCTTCTCTCTCTCTTTCTTTTAAAACATGTTACAGTTATTATTGCCGCTAGTGCTTGCATGCTTTTTCTGTTGACTTCCAAAGTAAAAAACTAGTAATACTTTTATTTACTTATATTCTGAAAATGTGTCTTCCTCTTTCTGTGTGTTACTGCGCTGTTGAAGGATGCTTCACCAAAACATACCTGTTGGTATTTTTCCATGTTCTTCTTTGAACTGCCCCAGTCATAAGCTTGGAACTTCCCTGACTGGGCCTCCTAAGAGGATGAACAAGAGAAGGATAGTTATAAAGCCATAATTTGGGAAGTTTATGTGTTCTTTCCYTGATGAGCCTCTGACTCCAATCTAAAGCCCAGACAGAAGTTCTTCTAAGGGCTACGAAAGAGCCAACAGTTAATTAATTAAAAGTGTCAAACAGTGAAAAGGAGTCAAATGTTCTTGGCATAACAAAAAAAAAAAAAAAAAAAAAAAAAAAAAAAAATAAAAAAAAAAATCACATCTTCTGCAGAAAGACCCAAGGATGTCCTCACAGGCAATTTGTCCAAGTTTGTAAAACTGTTGTTAACAGCTGCTGTCGGCACATTTGCCTCAGTGCTACTGCCTTGTCCTATCCTTACAGTCGTGTTGCCAACACTCAGCTCTGTGAGTGGCTCCATCTTATGTTTTCTCTTCCCACTCTATTTTGAATACACAAATTTCCATTTCTAGCTCTTCCTCTTGTTGGCTTTACCTGCAGCATGAATTATTACTACYCTGAGAGACACCCTCACCAGAATCYCAGTATTGAAAGTCCGTTAGCTYCCTTGWTGTAACAACAGWAAGAACAACGAAGGCTTAGAAGTATTAGTTCTGCATGTTTGTGCTTGCAGTCTGTGGTTAGAKGCTGAACTACATCTGATTCAATTTGCAGAGCTCCCCCCCCTCTGCTTTTGTAAACCTTTTTCTTTACAGGTCTATGTCACGGTTACAAAAGCATCTTAATCAAACCTACTATCTACTGTGAACTCCCAGCCAAAAGTATGATCTGATTTTGATTAAGTTCCTGTGCAGATGTTACTCAAACATATCAGTGTGTTTGTTGTGCTGGGAAGGGCACGAACATTCCTGCAAGTTCTGTGTGCTCACAGCTGCTYCTTGTGACATCCCTGAGCCCATGGTGCTGCCAGGAACCTGCCTTGCTGAGGCTCCTTACAGGGAGCCTGGCTCTGGATCCTCAGTGCGAAAGGCAGCTCCCATCAGCACTGCTGCTGAAGAGGTGCTATRGCAGTACCTTGTAGGTAAGTGATATAAATAGTCGAAAAAATAAAGTGATTTATTATTTATGGTTCTATTGTTGTCCAGATACTGCCAGCCTTGAAAGCGAGAGAAGAAACAAAAAGGGTTTTAATACTAACATTTGATAATTTACATGTCAGCCTAAATCCTGCTCATTTCCTGACACCATATTGGAAACAAGGCTAATTTCTTAAGGTAAACTCCTTACAGAACTCTGCACATCCTTTGTAAAAGGTACTGGATGCACAATAAGAACAGTGATATGTACACCTGCRCACACAGCTTCCAGCATATGTGTTTTTACACAAATGCAGCACTTCATCGTTGGTTTCAAATGTATCTGAATTCAAATRTACACAGGGCATTTCTGTCCTGCTGGCAAAAGGAGGAGCAATGAAGAATAGTGTTCTGAATGGAGATTTCAAAGCACAAGATGCCTGTGTTTCCCAGAACTAGCAATGGCTTCACAGCTGGTTATTTCTGTACCTCTCAGTTCAGCTCAAGGTGAGCACCTATTTTACCTTCCAGGGGTTTGCTCATACCTGACTCCAGTGGATTATATTCTGCACAGAAGTTCCAGCAGAGGTTTGGGCAATATACACATTGATTCGGTTCTGAAAGAAAATATTCTGTKAGCATTCCCTTCTTCCAGTCTATGCAGCTCTACATCAAAAAATCTGCTACAGCAGTGTCATGTATCGATAAAACCAACAGAAATTGGAGTGGCATGACTGGAGACTCCCTCAGATTTACTCCACATGTGGCAATGTGTTAGATCGGGAGTAGCATTGAAAGAGCAATCCCTAACAGAACATTTTCAAGGATGACTGAAAATCTTATAGAATGTACAGGTGAGAAGGATAGAATAGAAAGACAGCAATTTAAACCCCAGTCTGGGGACTTTTTTTCAGAATTCTGTGTTAGATCCTGTGTGAGAGAGGATCTCTGTTGGATAGAACAGCAGAGGTAAATGCAACTGAGGAATGCACTATTTGAAATAAGACACACCCTAGCAGTGCAGGAATCTCTTAATAAGCTGCTTGTGAACCTTCCTCAGCAAACACGCTTTTCTTTTTTTTAAATGCTGGAGCAAAATTTTGATGCCCAAGTGATTTGACCTCCAGCTGGACATAGCATGAGGTGCCCAGGTATGTCTTAATGCTCTCCTACCAATGTCTGCCAATTTCAATTTCTCTCAGGTACTCCMAAGGTATCTTGTGCCTCTGGGCACATTCCTGATGTGAATCACATCTCCTGATTCCAAGAAGAACAAGGACAAGGAAAAATATGTGTGTTCCTTTCTCTGTTGCAAAGAGAAAACATGACGCAGGTAGGCTTTGTATTTCCTCTTTTTCAGCGTGCCAGCATATGAAATATCTCTGATGAGACYGATATGGACCATAACATGGTGCCCTGGATGAGGTCTGGCAGAAGGCAGACTGCAGAAYTTTGGGGTGCTCTGAGCAGCTGTCAGCTTTAGAACAAATGCTGTTCTGAGGAGAGGCAGTGGTTCCCTGCTAATGACAGGGCCATCAGCAGCTACTGCTGTTCAGTAGTGGGGACTGTTCCCTGCTRTGTGACACTGAGAGAAATTCAGGATTCACTGCAGGGTAGAAGGAGAGTTTTGGGAGYGTAAGCTTAAACTCCCAGTAGAGCTGGTGAGACTTATACTTACCACATCAATGTTTTTCAGGTTACAGCCACCCAGATTGAAGAAGACGCTTCTGCAAAGCCTGGCAAAAGCTCGGTGGCTGCAGACAGGGGCTATTATCCTCGTCAGACACTCAGTCTTGGGAAGGAAYTCCCTTTTGCCAAGCATACCCTGTGAAATACAAAGGTAACTTTTATTCAGAAATGCACACACTTCTCTTTTCCAGCAATTTTCAGTGGTTCTTACTTGCYTTTTCTCCATTTACTAGATGATGTTCCTGCAAACTAGTGAGAAATTACTTGGTTTTACATTGCATCAGCCTTCTTGGGCATTACTCAATTTGGTTACAACACTTATAATGAAGAGATAAGTTAAATGTTAACTCAAATTCATAATTCAAGCTTGTATATCAGTTGTGGTTTTGCCTGGAGGATTCATTGGAAACGTTTGAGGATCTGCCTCTCCCTACCTCTCTGGGTGACCTGTGCCCGTGCTCTGCTCTTTCCTTGGATTGAAAGCTTTTCTTAATGCCCAGTCTGAGCTTTTGAAGGCCTCAGTCACAAAGTAAACCCACCCACATGCAAATAAGTCCACTTCATGAAGYCCCATACTTTCTGTTTGTCCATTTTAAGAGCTGAACAAACAAGTATATGGAAGGAAACCAAGATATCACATACCCTGAGCACTTTCTCAGGAAGGTAGAGGAGTTTTGTTGCTGGTCCTTTAGCATACTTAATAGCAGTGACTGGTGCCAATGCAAAGTAGAGTTTGATTTTTTGAGCCAGCTCTGGCATTGTTGAAAATGCAATGAAAGCTGAGAAAACAAAAGAGAGGAGTTAAAGAAAAAATCATTATTTGTACACTAGACTGTTTTCAGTGTTAGTACATGATATGCTGCACATTGAAATTCAGAAGCAAACCTTGTTAGTTCTTCAGAGACTATGGTCCAGCCTGGATTTATATGATATCTCTCTTCTCCATAAAATACCAAATTGTAGGCTTTTTTCCCCATTCAGAGATGTTTCTTTCTATATTTTGTAGCTTTCTTCCAGATTTGATTAAACATAAATGTACACTTCTGATGTACATTCATGCATTTCTTATACTATTGGGAGGAGAAGCTGTTTTTCTTCCCATCAATCCAATTTCATATTTTCTTTTTTCAYGTGAACATCTGGCCCAAACTGGCCAACTTCTCTTTCTGTGCTCTCATTTACCTGTTTTGTTCATTTTGGTCAACTGACCAGCTTCTGTTGGGCACACCCTTGCATCTTGGATGGAAACAATTTTCATGGCCCACACACAATAATTTCCAGTATAATTCTTAGTCAAAAGATTTTCAGTAACAGTGCTTTGCATACATTATGCTTTATTACTTTTATAATAAATTTAAAATTCCTACATGTTGAAAATTTCTTATAATTATTTTTCACATCTATAAAGAGTTAATGAAAAACTCAGGCACATTCAGTAACTCAGTATCTCGAATCACATTTTTATCCTGTTTTCCCAAAGAATTCCTCTCTTGTGTGTAACTTACCAGTGGTAGTACCTTGTGAATAGCCAATATAGTACAACTTTTCCTGTCCTGTTTTCTCCAGAATGAAATKTATTGCTGCTGGAAGATCAAACTTTGCCATCTCATCAAAACTGCAWATAGGATATTGAAAGAGAGGCATGCATAAATTAAAAATCAGATTTCAAACTGAATTCACATATTTATATTAATGGTTTGTCAGCAAAGAAACAGTCTGAACAAGTTAGTGAATCATTCAATTCTTCCAAGTTCTGTGTTTTTCTGGCACTGGATATGGAAGATGTTACTCAAGATTTTTTGTGTTATTTCYATTATACAGACTAGTGTTTCTAAGTAGTTGCCAAAACTGTCTCCAGGGGCTGAGGAATGGCTTGGAGATGGCCTGTGCAGATTCCTCTGGGTTGTTCTGCTGCTATGCCTTTGGTTGTAAGAACCTGTTCAAGCAGTAATTAAAACAGCCTCCATTACTATTAGAGTTCCCATGCTTTTATAGGGGGACCTGTATTTGCAAAAGCGAATATAAAGAGTGCTTGTTAAAAAGCAGTATATATAAATCCCCAATTTAGCCAGATGAAATAAATATGTAAGGATGGGCAATGGATATGCTCYTCAGTGGTTCTATATACCTGAAAGCCCAGAATTCATCTTGATCAATGGAATACTCTTSATGTTTTCTTGACCAGCGATTCCCTCTGCTATTTCCCATCCAAACRTCAAATCCAGCATCAGCTAGCAGGAAGCCCAGGCTGTTGTTGGGCATGTTTGTGACCCAGTTRCTAGCATCTCCCAATAATCCATGCTGGAGAAACACAACAGGTCTTGAACCTAAAAAAAAAAGCAAAACCAAAACAACAGTTTATAATTGTTTTTATCTTTAAATTTCCCGGCAGCTCAGGGACATTACTCTCTCATATTCAATACTGGGATTTTTTCCTGCATCAACTAATCATAAGAAAAAAAAGACCTCTTTCTGTAAAAGACAACTTACAGAGCTTCTGTAAGGATTTATGGAAAGATCTGTCTGAGACCAGAGAAAACTCAYTTGGCACCCTCTGGTCATTGCTTGTATAGCTCAGCCTGAGATTTTCAACACTGATACAGAGATGAAGGTGTGGGATTGTTTTCAGAGGTTTCCTTTACCCATAATATGAATTAGACACTGATGCTAACCAGGTGTAAGCAACAGCAAAGCAAAATTAGAACCTGAAACAGCTTCCTCAAAAYTAGCTGATCARGCAACCTTTATCCTATTTTTAATTMTCTTTTAAAAKTTTTAYTCATCAAYTCTTACTAGGAATCATATGCTTCAYATTATAGTGGATTTTWATCAAAAWCAGGTGTGCTCGACAATAATTCTTYTGATCTTGCAGGTTGTTGAGGGCAGACAGAATTGTCTGCTAAAATTTCACTTATATATACAAGTTTTGGCTGATGTTTTACAAATCCAAGGTAACTTTTGGGGATATGCCCCACTAGGCTGGTTTTGTGTCATATTAAAGAACTGTACCTGGGCTTTCTTGATCCTGAGTACCATGAGGGATTCTGTTGATGGTAATGGTATAACCATCTTCTGTCATCACTTCATACTCCTCGCTGGGGTACCCTTTGTAAGTAATGAGCTCACTCTAAGAGAGAAGGCACAAATGCATTTGATTGCACAAGTCCATTTCATATATTATAAGGTAGTCACAATGAAAAAATGTTAAAATCAGGTACAGCTGGGGATTTAACCTGCATACATTAAGCATCTGAATGTATGTAACCCTAAAGCAACTACAGATTTCCTTTTTTATGTTTTATCCAGGGTTTTACTATCCTCTATCACACTCCTGCCATACCATCATCACAAGCCTGTGCATTCTGGTGACACAAGAATCACTATAAACTCATAGCAGGAGTTMATGAGCTGAGATGAAGTGTGGGGCTGACATGAGGAGCTGCCCAGGTGCAATGCTTCTGATTTGCCTCTGAATTGCTTCAACACAGCCTGGAACCAGCTTATTTAATCTACCTTTGAGAAACTCAGAGAGCTGCACAACTATGGCATTGTGAGCAGCACAGAGGCAACGAGCACTGCTGAAAAGCTGACTACAGTCTGGAAAAAACAAGATCAGGCGGTTGCATAGCTGCAAGGGAAATCCCTAGCACAGCCCATCTTAAGCTCTGAAGTAAACATTGCTTTTGACCTGTAACATTCAATCTGTTTTTTTTTACAAGAGGACTGCTTTTTTTATAATTTGGGCACAGAGAATTACTCAGTGTATTTTGTCAGGCAAGACAGAACCCCCAAGATTTTAAAAAGGGGCTAAAGACCTAAGCCAGCTTGCTTGGCAAGAGGTATTCTCTTRAAAAGCTGGCCATTTCTGGCCTCTGCTGGTCACCAGCAGTTATTTATASGCTTCATTGCTGATGAAATGCTGACATTCCAAATAGTCATTCTTTCAGATAGGTAAGGTACTGCCAACAATAGCAAGCTGGTAAGTGATATTTTAAAGGAAATTAAGTCTGGAGATTTACTTTTTGCTTTAATTTCTATCAGACAGAAGATGGGTTGTTACACAGGCAGACAGAAGAGAACAGAAGAGAAGAGAAAGCAGTAATATGTAGAGTGACTGGAGAGGATAGACAGCTTATCTACCTCGTCACTTCTAACAATTAGAAATCCTCAGCTGTAAGACACATGTAACACCCATGCTGAGGTCACTCTACCAAGTAACTTACAATACTCATAAAAGCTTCAGCATCCACAGCTCTCTTCATTCTTCTCAGCTCTTCTGAGGAAGTAATTCCCAGAAACAAGCATGTCACAACAATAAACAGCCATATCTTCTCTCTGCAAAAATCAATATATTCAGCTGTCAATGGTCCTGCTCTGCACTTGCAATCCAGACAGCTTCTGTACGTTTCTGATGAGGAAAGTGCTGTCTGGTACTCCCTATTTGTTAATTAAATGGAACAARGCTGACTTCAAACACCTGAGAGTGTTTGGCACAAACCTGGAATTTCTGCTAAGGTTTGGAATAGGATGTTGCTCTTGATCAGGGCAAAATTATCAGTGAATCCAGGAAAAGGAGCAAAGCTKCTGGAGAAATGGATTTCACTCATTTCTCTGAGAAGTAGGTCACTTGCATTACCATGCCATGCATTTGGTCTGTAGGTGAGTTAGGAAACATTTCAGGCTAACTCTGGGAAACACAGAGTTATTGGGTAACTCATAAGTAAATGAACCATTGTTAGAGTGWAACTTTCAAAGTGGATGGATAGTTGTTGGATAGTTAGTGGGGAAAAAGCAAAAACAATTGAAAATAAAAAAAATTAAATAATAATTAAATATCATTTAATTAAGAACTTAGGAACCTAAATAAAGCAGTTCTTTATCGTTGCTGAGCAAAATCTGTAGAAACCTGCTCAATGACAAAATTTATCCACTCCATGGGATGCATATGGAACAAGGAAAAGAAAGCTTTGCTGAATGTAATGCTAAGTAGAGACTAAGCAGGGACATCCAGTTTTGTTCAGCAAATAAGGAACAAAAAAACCTGAGAGGTAGGTATCCTGCTTAGATGCACACATAGCATCTCCACTCTCTGTGCACACCTACATACTCTTAGCTCAAAGAAAATGCAGTGTTTTTTTAGCATCTTCTCCACAGAATACAGCCCCCCCAGAGGCCACATCTAAACTTCTGTTGTCCCAGTGATAGAACTTTCAGTCAGACTGATTCAGACAAAAAAATCTATTGCATTTATTGTTTCCTAAACAAGAAGACATTTAAACTTTTTTCTCAAATAATATAAATAGCATTTTCTTTTCCTATCACACAACAACAATTTATATACTAACTTCCTAATGCTACATTCAGGTACAATCTGTCTGCTGAAAATACTTGGCTCCTTTTGTAGAAAAAAGGGATTTTTAGAAGCCTTTGTTTTACTGACCTTAGCACCCTTTTGGTTTAAAGACACCACTTTGTTATTCCCTCACTTGCTGTCTTCCCATACCTCTTCAGCTATCCCAGAGTTACCTAAACTCAGGCCAGGTGAGCCAGGCCTGAATCTCCTTAGCCAAAAGGAATCTTTCAAGAAATAGCCATACTTTTACCTACATGACTTACAAGCAAAACAACATGAAATACACTTGTTCCCAAATAGTAAAACAATTCCTCAAGCTCAGGTTTGATACCATCTTTTGCAGCTCCCATGAAGCCTTCACCAGTTTTGGATCATAAATAAATGAAARCATTACTGACCTTGTGCCCGAAGTCATGTGTTTGGCTGAGCAGCTGCAGCTGCAGAAGAATKAAAATTCAATTCCTGGCTGTTTGGATGCAGTGCTGGCAGTGAAAGGATGGTCATGCACTGTTTTTTCCCCRATCATGCAGCAGCTTGACAATAAGCCTGTGTTTCTTTCCCACTCCTCATTCCTTCTGCTATCACTTCAGCTTTCCCCTGATGTGGCACCAGAGAGAGGGGGCTCCTTTTGTTCTCCAGCCTCACACTTCAGCTCCTTAGATACCACAGCAGTAACAAGGCTCTTCTACTATCACAGATTGCTGGATTTTTAAGGAGAATACCAGCCTCTGTGGAGTGGCAGAGCATGATCAGGAATTTTGAAAATAAATATATTCATAGATACAGCTTATCATACCTAATGAAATTGTCGATAGGGCTGCAACAATTTTCTCTTTTACTCTCAACCCAGCYATTCCAGCTTCTCATGTTATCTGGAAAGGATGGAAGGAGCTCTGACTCTTTGATACCTCTACAGATGTTACTGCACATATTTTTCTTTTATTCTTTTAATACTTCTTTTGCTGTTCCATAATTCTACTTTGTTGCTGGAGTTGTTACGGGAGATTTTCCTGCATTTATATTTCACCTCTTAAATGTCCATAGAATTGAACAGATATTCCCTAAATGAATAGTTTAGAATAGAAACTAGAATAGTTTAGAATAGAAACTAGAATAGAAACTAGAAGGCTTTTCTATAATCTGTATGGACTCAGAAAGCATTGGCAAGATGGGCACACGTGTGTCAGTGGTCTCAAGCATACTCTGAGTGGGCCAAAATTGTTCAGCAGTGGAAATTAGGTATGTCTGAATAGACAGTTCAGACAGGCCCTTTTCAAGGTATTCAGGGCAATGACCTTTCTGAGTCTCTTCTTTTTGTGGAGCACAAGCCTGGTGCAGCTGTGTTCCACCACGAGTGGTGTCCTCACTACAACAATACAAACTTTGCAGAAGTATGATTGAGGTTCTTTTTCTTTTTCGCTTGTGTACTCTGGTATAAAGCTGGTGGGTTTGACATTCTGCATGTTCCAGGTATTTTTAAATCTTGAAACGAATTATTCTTCCTTGTTCAGTTCCCCATTTTTGCTCCTCCAAATATTCTTTCTGTCTTGCAGATACTGTTCGTCCACATAGAACAGATCAGCTTAAATACTGAGATGAACATTKACCAGGGTTTTGAGCAGGATTTGATATTTCTATTTATGTTGCAGCTTGCATACTTTCTTCTTGCAGTACTGCCTGTGGTTAAGATGAGAAATATTTAATATATCCTCAGAAATTATTTTAATATTTTCAGATCAGAAAGAAATATGAAAGAAAATCTCAGGAGAYGACCTGTTCCTACAAGACTTGTTATCAGGCCTTCAAAGAGAAATAGAAGCATCTGAGTTCAGTTTCTGGCAGGGAACTAGGAGAGAAAATTATTTTCAAAGAGCTGGTTTAGAACATGGAGTGTTTTYAAATATTGATTCTACACATGGGATGGAATTTTATAAAAAACCTTCTCATTATTTCCTTTCATACATTCCGAGTTCTTTCATCTTTCCTGTAAGAAAAGCAGATTTCCCCCTTTTAAAAGCCTCAGTATCTTCTGAAGCTTGACATGCATTTCATGAGTGAACTGTTCAAATATGTGCTTGCCTTTGTGCTTGCCTACCTCATGCTCTTCTAAATCATTAAGATGTACTATTAACTTGCTGTGAACAAAGCCAGATCCATTCTTTAGTGCAAAGCAATGCTCCACTGACAAAAAACCTCACTAAAACATTGCATAAGCATGGCATAATACCATAAAGAGCAAATGCCTGGATAAAGTCATTGCAGGTTATTAGCAGTAAATGTTTGAGGTGAGTGAGGTGGGCAAAGGTGAACCAGGATGAGTGTTGGGCTGATTTTTTTCAAACAGACAGACACGCACACTGTTGTAAATGGTCAGTTTTCAGTGGAAGTTACTCACGCTATAATCAGGTAGGGAATTCAGTGGAAATGCTTAAAGGTTGAGGTGTTGCTGTCAGAGTTGTGGCTGCATCTTCACAGATGTGGTCATATGTAAATGAAATTTAAATTGGTCAGTCTAGGTGCCCTTACATAAATGCCTTTACATAAATTGTTCACTGCATACTCAGTTTATGAAGCCTCAACTCTTTCCAGCTCTTTTTATGGATAAAACCCCATCAATGTACAGCATACAATCCCTAGCATTCTGGTGTTTTGTGTTAAATCCTTGCTCTCCCCGTTCCCTCTTGCTGCAGGAATTGGACCTGACTCTGGAAATGACTCAGGAATGGAAGATATTTTTACACAGCTGAATATAGCAGTTCATCATGGATCAAATATGTCCTTTCGGCGTCTTCATCCAGCGAGCGAATGTAGTTATCAGAAACGCTCGGCTATTTTAAGAATGTTAAGGAGAGCGTTTAAGGGGAGGTATGCTTTTCTGAGAGACAGACTTGTTTTTGTAGAAGTTGCCATCCAGGAGTCTCCAAGGGAACACAGAGCAGCAAAAACAGAAGGAGCCCCTTGTGCACTCATATGGCTTTAAAAACATTTCATGTCATAATGGAGTAAACAGTCGTTTCCTGAGAGTGAAGAAAACACTGAGGACTAAGCACAGGGTCTCACAGCRTGCTCTCCACTGAATCCCTGGGATAATACCTGCTTCCAGCAGCATGCCACAGCTGCCCTAAGCCACACAGCCCATGCTGAGTGCTGCTGGCCCCCAGTACAGGCACATTTGGGGAGCTAAGGCAGACCCTCYCTACTCAGCAATGGACCCTACACCTCCAAACAGTGAAAGAACCGCTCTCAGGGGAGTTCATRCACACAGAGAAAGAAGTGCAGAAGCACAAAGCACCAGTGAGAACAGGTGCTGCTTGGGTGAGAGATTCTTCTCAGCTCTGTCAGGCCTGCAAAAATATTTCTGGTGGTCATCATCAAGATCAATGGGTTTGCCTGGGGATTACCAGCAACTGGCTGAGCAGCACAGTATTCATAAGTGASACTTGTGAGTGAGGTGGCCCTGAGYTGGCACTTAGATAATTATGAATCTTGCATGACAAAGGTTAAGTAAGAAGTGTCAAAAGGAAGGGTCCATGAGGCCCAGAGAGCGCTGCATGCCTGTCTGTCCTGCTCACACTGCTGCTGCCATGTCTGGAAGTGTCCCAGGCAGCRCTGCCCTCCTGCTCAAGCACCAGCAGCCCCACAGAAGGGGCAGCTTGCTCATGGAAAGCTCAGCACCAGCAGCACCTGTCTCTCTGTTAACTTACCGAAGGGAAATACGACTTGTGGAAAGAGCAACTATTTCCATAATACCCTCTTGCAGTTGCTGAAGTTTATGACATATATGCAAGCCAGGATTTCTTCACCTCCGAGGGTGGATGAGGATGAAGTCTGTGTTGCAATTTATGAGCTTTGCATTGTTCAAATTGTTTTGCCTCACAATCTGCAGGCAATTATTTTTTTTATCCTTCTGCTCATTTTGTAGTAATGTAGAGCAGTATCTTGTCACCCCCATGAATCAACTGTAATTAGAGAAGATTTCCAAATTGTAAATCACTTATTTTTTGATTTGTACCTTTGTACACAGTAGGAACTTCTTTTGAAATAGCAAAGGTCTTGCTGACTCACAGATCTGATCTTTTTTCTTTAAAAAATGAA